TTGTGTCTGTAGGTTCCCTTGTGAAAAACATCAGGACAGCTTTTGCAAATAGCTGAGCACGTGCAGATGCAGTTGACCTTGATAGATAACTGCATTTTTAAGCACATGACGTGTATATAATACTTGGAAAATCCACTAGCTTTGTAATATGTTCGAGTTTTTTGCTGCTCTAGTGGTGCAGCGGGTTGCAGTATCATTCTAGGTGGAGGCTACTTCATGATCTATCCTGTGTGTGGGTATACAAAGGTACATAATGTAACTAAATTCAGTATGTAATGTAGGTGAGAAACGGTTACGCGTTCAAGACATGTTCCTCTAGTTACATGGTAAAAGGACTCCTTTCTCCTTTTTGGGAAAGGTTTTTAAAGAGGTTTCTGACTTCCTGTTGTAAAAGCATGCCTTCAAACAAAGTTATGCTTGAAAGGGTGTTCTGCAGGATCCCTGGGGAATGCTCTGCTTTTTGAGCCTCACCTGAGAGAGGTGAGAAGGATAATGTGGAACAGAAGAGAAGTGGGTGAATTGAGGGTAGTAACTGCAGGGTAGTATGGCAGATCCTGAAGTGTAGTTGGGACAGTTACTTGAGCTGCTAGAAGGAAGAGCTCAGCCCAGAGAGACTGAAGAGGAATGTGAACTATTCTAAGCACTTTAGAGGAAAAGGTGTCCAGTACCAGTGTGGGAAGCTCGGGGTGAAATGACTGCAGACTCCTCCTGCATCTGTAGATTGTTATTCCTTTTCCAGTATTAGTTACTAATTGTCCCTCCAAGATACAACATTCTCTAGTGGATTGTTGGTTTTGGATAGTTCTGTAGCTGTGACACGGAAAAGAGTGCAAATAACCAGGGCAGGAAAAGAAGTGATTCTGCACACCATGGATTTCTAGTCTGCCTTGTGAGCTGAGTCAAATGTTACAAGAAATTGGGCCCTTAAGGATGGCCATATTTTGGTAGTTACCCACCTGCTCTTAATTAGGCAGCGTACAGCATGCCATTCTTTCTGCTTTGCTCAGGGTAAACGACAGTGGTGAGGAGTCTTGAGGCTTTCAGAAAGGATCTAACTGAGAGGAGATAGTTCTGGCTAGAGGGGAGAGGTAAGATTCTTGTTTTGATACATTACTTGTATGTGTTTTTATACATACAGGTAGAGAAAGTAGAGAGGAATTAGACTTTAACCAGAAATATTGCTTTCATTTCATTTTAAATTTAGTATCAGGTCCCAGTCAATCCCCACTAAAAGTAATAAAAGTAATTAGATTGTGTTTTCCATAGTAGTACACGTTCATATCTTAGTGGGTGCTGCACTAATTGCATCTGAGTTTTTAACCTGAATACGTAGCAGACAATTTTGAATGTGTGTATGTATGTAGTCATAAATCCAGAAACTAGCTAATTTCTTTAATGGATTGAAGCTCTCCTTTATTTTCCTAAAATTAGTGGTGACTTCAAGTTGCTAAAGTAATCTGGTTTATGACTGAACTAGCATTCTTATCTGTCTTTTGTTTTTCTCTGAGAGAAACATAATATTTTGGTTAATGATACTGGTTTTGAATTAAAATATGACTCAGGAATAATGCTGTGAGCATCATGGAGTAGCACTAAATCGGTACCTGCGTAGTCAGAGAATCAAAGATTGAAATTTGAGCAACTGGGTAGACACGGAACTTCTTTCTGGTGATTTTGGTGTTTTTCTGCCTTGAGATTATGAGGAGAAAAAAGAGTAAAAGGGATTTTTTTTTGAGAAATGTTTGATGCACAAAACCCATGAAACTAATATAAGTCGGGATTTAAGAAAAGGTTTCAGCACCACAGCAATTTATCACATCAGGATATAGTAATATCTTTTAAAATATTGATAATAATTAAAAATATTTCCAGTAGTAATATATATGAGGAATTATTAAAAGTAAAGAGAGGAGGGAATAAGATTATGTAAGAACTAATTAAGACAAGCTGAAATATAGAGGAAATCAAATTGAGTGAAGGAAACCTGTGAAAACTTCAACTGATACCCTTTCTCTTATTCACTGAACAATAAAGCAGGTGATTTTTTAGGTTGAGGTAACATTATCATAAGGTAATACAATGGGGTTATGCAAATGAACTAGATTGTGTGAATAAGACCTTGATAAGTTTTGTATTTTGCTTTCATAAAGCAGGAACTTTACAAGATTTTAAGTGATGAAAAACAGGTATTTTGATCAGCCAGCATTTTTTAGCTTTGCCTACGAGCTATAAAATCGTGTTATTAGTTTGTTATTAGTCTAAATGGATCTGGGCTCTTGTCCTGTGGTTTGGTAGTAAATCATTTAAGCTGAAGTTACAGCGTGTTCAGTAGGAGAGATAAATCACAGCTTCTCTCCTGAGATTACAGCAGTATGTTAGTCAAAGTATGGTAATGATGGTGAATCAATTAGGAAGGGAAAATTAACAGCACTGCTGTGTACTGGGTTACTGTGCATTAGTGAAGCAAAATGCAAAGTTTCTGAAGCACTGTGATTTTCAATATATTTGAAGTCTTCATTGTAATTTATACTGGCAGGACATACTAAGTTAAAAAAAGAACACTGGTGCCAAGTGAAAAAATACAGTACTCTGTTTTAAAGGGAAGCTTTTCATATTTATGGCATGATGTTAGCATCACTCTTAAGATGAAAAGTGATTAATTACCTGAATTGAGTAACAGATATTTTGTAAGAACACACATGAATACACAGTATTTATTAACTTACAGAATACCATAATTCTCTGATGTTCTTTTGCATGAAGAATCATTTGATATTCATTGTAAGAGACAGAGGGTTTAACTAACAAACTTATTTGGGATAGAAGGCTGCAGGAGCACTAAAATATGCTTTAGCAATAGCATGAAGATCAGATGTGGATTTTCTTTACTGCACATGCGGTACTTCCCACGGAGCATCTTCAGAAACAGAAATCTCACAAGTTCTAATTGCTGATCCTTTAGGGAAAGACATATGTGTCTGTGGGGTTTTTTAAGGGAGCTGTTCTCACACAGATAATCAGAAAGTGGCATTTTAGCGTGTGGTAGTAGCTCTTTATCTCTGGAGAATAGGTCAGCGCACACAGATAGCCAAGTTGAACATTTCTAATGAAACATGACGAAGTTGCACTTCTTTAAAAATTGAAGAAGTGGCATACATTTTGATAATGGAATAATGGAGGCTCCCTACCCCAGCTATCATCTCTGTTCATGATCATTAGGATGCAGAATATTAAGAGCAGAGCAACTGGGCGTAACAGCCGACGTCCAACATCTGTCATGCTGGAGTCCATTAGTGTTCAATTGCATCCTATTGTTTTTGGATTATTCAACCTCATTTCATTGTCATTGCTTTTGCTAGGGATTAATCAGCTGTTTACAACTATGCCAAGTTTTGGAGTCATAGTGAAAACAATTGAGCTATAGTTCTAAATAAATATACAGTATTCAGTCTCTAATGAAAAAAGTTACTAATTTATGAATGCTGGTAACAATTTAATTAAGTTTGAAATCAATACAGATAATAAATCATTGTGTGGCAGGATTTTTTTTCCTGTTTGTGTACATCATAAAAAGATCATGTGATATTTCCTTGTAAGTTTATGTAGTTATGATTTTAGTACAATGCAAGTACAGTAAAAGAAAGATATTTTAGTTATGGGGCGTGGGTATATTGTGGCTCCTCTGGCATTACAGTTGGTAGCAGAATTGATTCCTTGCTGCCAGCAAACAGATTTGTTTTTCACATCCTCTTTTATTCTTGTCACTTATTTAGAGATATTACTAAAAACACACCTTTAATTCACATCAAATACACATACATCCTTGAACAGGATATATTAAAAAGGGCAGTTTTCAGGTGATTAATATACTTACATGTTTTTGTGTATAACTATAATAACCCGTCTAAATAGTTTTGCAGTTATTAGGTAAATCCATAGTTACATTTTAAGTGTTTAAATATGTTTAAATTATTTTATAACTTTGAGTTTGCTGGCAGGGAAATATATAATCCCCTTTTTTCTCAAGATACTACTCTGGTTGCAATGTTGTGTACTTCATACAATATTAAAATTGTGACTGCTGGAGGGTTTCTAAAAATTTAAATTTATTTATTTTGGTACCATATGTACAAACCAGTGGTATTCTTAGTATCTTTTAGCTCTTTAGGCCATGTATCTTTTAGCTCCTTCTCTTGTTTCATTAATGCAGTTATTCTTCTGTCCTCAATACTTAGCCAGAATTTTCACGTGTTTTAATGTACAAATACTACAATGCACAGAGATTTTTTTTTTTTCCTGAGTTGCAACAGATTATCCATTGAAAGGGTCTTTTGCTTAACTGCCCAGAGTCTTGTGGGGCCAGCCAGACACTACTCCAGATGGCAAGTTGTTAGGGCTGGACAGAATGGCTTCGGAAGACTTCTCACCAGATGAAGGCTGCAATGTTGGGATTTTACTGTTTGGCTTTTTTTTCCCCTGTAGTTCCCAGGGTGGGAAGGTGCTGGGATGGCAGCAGTGTGCCGCCCACCCACCTGCTACCACCTGTTCATCTCTTGCAGTTTCTATAAAGCCTCGAGTTGTCCGCTCGACACAATCGTTGCTGGCCGGCAGAGCCAAGCAAAATCTCTCTTAGGAAGTCACGGCTGCAGAGCGCAACCCTTCACCATCACAAAATCCTCTCCTCAACTGAATCAGGACTTCTCTCATTTGAAACAGCCATTTGGAGCTGTTGTGCCTTTAATCCAGTAAGATCCTTCTTGGATTCAACAGACTGTTTTCTTCAGTAGCATAGGTTTTGAGAATGGATATTTCATTGTTTTCTCTCTCTCTTAGAGATTAAAGAATCTAAAAGAATGAAAGCGTAAGACATAAAAATGCTTCATCCTTTCTTTCAACGATAAGAAACGATTTTCAGACATTTCCAGAAGAACTTTTATTTTATTATATTTATTTTTTTAGAACCCAAGAAAAATACTCCATCATTTATATGGGAAGCAGATTCAAGCGGTACGAGGGTTACTCCACGAGTGCTTTCCTTACCACTTTTTTGAAAGCGAATTTTTGCTGGGTGATTTTTGTGCGTGTGAAAGTGAAGCTGCATCGAATATGAAAACCTGTAAATCCAGTCCCCTGGACCCAGTTGTGGAGCCAGACTCGCAGTGCAGAAGCGGAGCAGGCTGTGTTGTGAAGTGCAGCTCGGAAAGGATGGAGAACGCTGCCAAGAGGAGGCTGGCTGCCAATGCCCGCGAGAGGAGGCGCATGCAGGGACTGAACACGGCCTTCGATCGCTTGAGAAAGGTGGTTCCGCAGTGGGGGCAGGATAAGAAACTGTCCAAGTATGAGACCCTGCAGATGGCTCTGAGCTACATCATGGCTCTGACCAGGATCCTTGCTGAAGCTGAGAGGTTCAGTACTGAGCGAGAGTGGCTCAGCCTGCACTGTGAGCACTTCCCTGGAGACAGCTGCCACCACTACCCGGCACAGAAACCCACGGCGGACGGCAATCCTTACACACAGAGGGTGTTCAGCTACCACCCCGAGCACTTCCAGATAGCTAATTAGAACTTGTTGCCAGCTAAGAGTATGCAGCAGGCCAGATGTGTAATTTAATAATTAGCAAGAGTTAATCTGCTTGACTAAGGTAATATTGGCATTATAATAGCTCATTCTTGTTTGCGTCTTATAGTCATTTGGCAAAATAATTTTGCTCTGAGAACATAAAGTCAAAAGGCATTTAAAATGAATTAATTTATTTAATGCTGGTGGAAATTATACTTTTAATTTGAAATATTTCTGACAGTTGTTTCCTAGTTTATCTAGTGTATTTAATGCTTTAACTAAAGAAGTTTTGGAGGTTTTTTTTACTGTGATGAATCATGACAGTATTTCTACAGATCATGGGACAAGTTGACCCATGGTGTAACTAAATAGAATAGCACCATAAATGAACCTTATTCCATATTTTTCTTTTTATGTCAGCTTTAAAGTTGTTCTTTAGTGTCTTTTTGCATAAATGGTTCACATGGAAAAAGTTTTATAATGTATTGGAGTTCTAGTCCTCAGAGAACTAACTTTCTTAAACTTTGTAAGTTTGACATATGGGTTCCAAAGTTGTGTAGGTTTGCTTTAATCCAATTTATGGTGTCTCTTGTATGCTCAAAAAAGAGCTGGTTTCATGGAAGGAATGTTTTATTTTCAGTGATTGTAAAAACACGTGTGATTGTATACCATAAATGAGAACGCTTGTGTGAAAATAGTCTAAGCTTCTAGATTATTGTCGGCTTTAAATGATGGGATTTTATTTTTTAATCTTATGTTATCTGGAAAACAATAACAGATTTTGTAAATCTTAAATAAAGTGTTTCATATGCAATGTCCTCACCAAATACCTGAAATTCCTGCTCTAGGAATTACTTACTAGTGGATTTTCTACCCCAAATGTTACACAACTTCTATCACAATCCTGGCAGTTTAATGTGCTGAAGAAACAACCAGCAATTATATTTTCTTCCCAGTTACAGCGAGGAGTGTATTTTATGTGCAAATTTGGGGAAGGAACGATGGAGTATTTTTGCAGAGCAGTTGAGTTCAGTTTCAGCCCTGGTGATGTGCTGAGTGGCCTTTTGTTTACTTGCACTTTCACTTGTAGGGGACAGAGGGGTCCGGGGAGAAAAGGCAGAAGAGGAAAGGAGGTTGGGAAGATGGAAACACGAGGGGAGGAAGCAGACGTGGGGGAAGCAGACGTGGTTGTAGCAGGGTGCAGCGTCTGCGGCAGCAGCTCAGCTGTCGGTGCCTGGCATGGTGGCAGCGGACTGTGGAGCTGAAGGGTGTCACCCTGATTCTTAAGATTTTCTAAAGCCTTCTGAGTTTACATTCTGTTGGAGAACTTTCCCACACAATTTCTGTAAACAACATATTGTTTACATTCTTTTATGGGGCTGGACAAACTTGATGTACTAGTGGTTTGTCCAATGTCTTTGGAGAGGTGGCCCATTCACTCTCCAATCCAATGTCACCTTTGGGAAAGTATAAATGTCGGAGTCAGAGAATAAACTTTCTTCTTTACCTTGCAAATAGCAGGTGGCTCACGTCGTGCTTTCATGTGTCCTATAGCGACAGAAGGGTGCTGCTGCTGAGGGGAGATTCCAGAGAAAAGGCCTCCCTGGTGTTAGCCCAGAGAGAAGGAGACAAGCTGCTGTCCCACAGCAGCTGCTGGTGGATTTCCAGCAGGGAAGGCTTGCAGGTTCCCTGCTGGCTGCTGCCATGCCTCATAGTTTAGGATTCTTTCAAATGACAAATGAATAGCTTTGATAGGAGTTATTTTCGACAATTAAGCAGCTTTCAGAGGAGAACAAAGGCACGAAGAGGAACTAAGCCGTGTTTGGGGGGAGAGGGACTGCTTTAGGAGCCGTTCAGAGCAGAGTCTGCCCTCCCTGTGTGTCTGTCCCTCGCTAGGGTTCCACCCTGGTCACTGTTCAGGCTCCTGCCTCCCCTGCCCTGCGAGCGGCACGGTGCCTGCCACGGAGGATGGCTTCCAGGCTGGCTTAAACACACTGTGTATTCCGAGCAAGTCTCTCCTTTAAACACTGGCATTCAGGAATGCATTTCTAAATGCATCTTTAGCCTCTTTAAAGGTGATGAATAGTGTTAGTTATTAAAATGTGGGCTTTCTCTTTGTGTGAATTACGTTAGATCTTTATCGGCAAGCAGAAAGTGGACTCGGCCTCAGTGATATGAAGTCATGTTGTTCAGACAGTAGAAATTAATTGTTGTCCATCATATAGTCAAGTTAATACTGTGTGAATGTTACTTACCATTAAGTGGCATGTTTATGTATGTGATAACAATGAATACAGTTCTTAATTAAATAATGTGCTCTCTTACCCTAATGTGTTAGCTGTAAACCTCAGGTAGATACTGTCTCACCTGCACTGCTAACAGCAGTGGGTTTTCCATACTGAAACAGGAATTGCATGCAAATAAGTAATGTGATTATATGATACAGAAAGCTTGCCTAAAGCTGAGGTGCAAAGGGGAATACAGTAGAACAGGATAAATGCCAGGGTAGAGTGCAAGAACACTATTGATGCTTCTGTGCTACTGGCATATGATTTGTTTTTGTGGGACATGACATTGCAGTAATTCAGCTAAAAGTACTTAACAGCCATTTCTCTTCCAATTTTGTTTCTTCTATGCAGCTTTGTACTTTATTTTCTACTGCATATGATGATATAGTTAAAAAAAATAATGGACTAGTGTGCAGGGAATGGTTAAATGGTAATAAACTTACATAAAGAGGAACAAAGCAACACAAGCCATAAAATATCTGTGCTCATGTTACCAAAAGTTCTTAAGAATTGAAACTGAAGTCCTGCAAAGTACTTCAGTGCAGTTTGTAGGTAATGAGCACTTATAAATCAGGTCTCTGCTTCTGATCAATATGGTTAAGGTTATAATCCCAATCCCCTGTAATCCCTATTATCTTAGATTTTGTTGTGCTAATGGGGCATGAATGTTTATTGATACCTTTATTTATAATTAATAATATTGCTGCTGGGGAAATTGTGATTTTATCTAATGTTGTACTGGTTTTGTTTCTTGGGAGGGTGCAGTGCTGAAGTTCGGATTTTCAGTTTACTGTAGTAGTGAAGGGAGCAGGGTAAATTCTGTGTAGTGCACAGACAGCTGTCTATTGATTATCTGCCAAAGCCTTTTGGAGAGTGAGTTGAGGTGATGGGAAAGTTAGATCATTAAAAATTCTGAGTGCAGTTTGAAAAGCAGATAATATCCAAGCTGGTTGGGACTTTTCAAACAAAACAACTATTCAGTAAATGATTGATTTCTTTTAATAGCTTTCCTTTACAAATACTTCAGTGATATTTGTGAAATGCAAAAGTGATTGTTTGACTTGGGTTTGATTATTGCTTCCAAATATTTGTTCCCCACTGACTTTTTGATGCTGGTCAGGTAATGGCTCTGAGCCACCTTCTGTACTGGACTTTGCTGGTGTGGGCATTTTGTGCTCGCTCCCCTTATATAAGTATGGCTTCTATTAGGCCTCCAAATAAGCCAGAGCTCAGATGCTCAGAGCTTGGTGTATTCTCAGAGGCTGAGTTTTGTCTGTCCATAAATCTTTGTCCCACTGAACAGTGCAGTGCAAATCTGAAATACTTCTGTTTGTACTATCAGTACTACATCTGGTCCATCTGTCCAGTTATCACTGTAATTGTAGAACCACGTTATTGTGGGAGCTTTGGGGATGACAAATGCTTGCTTCATTAAATATGTCTTGCATACTTTACATATATGTGTTTCACTATTGAAACTCAGTGTGAAATTCTATGAACTGTTTGTGGGAAATTAACCTCTATTTTTCTGAAAGGACTTTCTGCAGGGTTTTCTATTTGAAGCTACAGGTACTGTGCTTTTGTGATTCTTCTAATCATATCACCCTGTTTTGACATGCCCAGAGTTATTTTTGAGCTTGGAACTAGAGTAACATTTTTAACTGCAGTGACTTTGCAGCAGCTGAAAGCAGAATTAGGGTAGCACATTCCCAAAATGTGTGTTAGCAAAAAAAAACTCAAGTGCCTTCTTCCTCATTATCAACATGTTTTAAACTTCCATTCATCCCAATTTTTTAGGCTTTTGTCTTCCATCTCACCATTTATGAGGTATTTAGTGCACAGACCATCTTGTACTATATGTACACACAGGGCAAGTCTCAGTTCTTGACTAGAATTCTGAAATGGTGCTACAGTACCCATTCTTCACAGTAATAATGTCCCTGACCTCAGCTGTACATTTGTAAAGTCAATGGCAGTGCAGCTTCCTCCTGTGGGGAAGCATGAGTATCATTAGGTATTTCAATATTTAACTCACTCCATCTATATTGTTAAGTAAAATTTTCTGTGAAAAATATTTGTGGAAGTCCCTCCTGTGATGGGATTCATTAGGAACTAATTTTAAAAAGTGCTGTTTCCAGGCCAAAGGAATTGATTTGCCAAAGGAAACTTTTGCCTTAACATAGGTACCCTTACTCTTGGGATTCCAGCTATTTGAGCTAAGCAATATGGATATGGTTCTCTGTAGTTTAGGAGTGAAATTTAACCAGAGTTTTAAAATAATACATGGAAGAGCTGCTTTTTCTCTAAGTATGTTTAGCTCTTCTATTTCTACAAGATATCCAGGGGAAAAGACCAAGTGCACTGAGGATGAAGACATGTTTATTTATGGAGAAGCAGTCCAGTGTTTCTTCTACACAGATATCTTAAAAAAATATTCACCTGGTACTCGTGCCACTTCTTAAAAATTCTCTATATTTTAAACTTTAATTACATGTCAAGCAAACCTGGCTTCAAAACCTCTAACCAGCCCCATGTGTAATATTTAAATGTCTCTTCTACTAAAGAGTACATTTTCATATCATCTACTAATTTGTGGTTCAGTTTTCATTTGTGCAGAAATTAGCATGCAAAAGATACCTTACTAAATTTGCTTGAAGTGTCTGCATATGTAACACCAAGGAATAAGAAATTCATTTTTGACTGGCTTTCTGCAGC